GGGTGGTGGGTGTGGGTGTATTAACCAAGTAGGGGACTTATGTCCTATTGTTATGCACCTGTACTTGTACTTGTACGAATCCATTAAATAAAATAAAATAAAATAATCCGATGGTAGCACTGATGTCACTGTACTGTTCTAGTCGTCTAATGGCATCTAAGTCGACGTGCAGTATCAATACCAAATGTCTCCAATTACGTTTCAATCTCATATCACGATCCAAGCACGAGCACAGCTCTTCTATAAACTCTGGTTTACTTCGTAGAATGGCAGATAATTTAGACCCTAATGTTTAGTTGCGAGGGAATCGCTTTAATATCTGCCATCAAGTGTTACGTCAACTACCTTGTTATAACAAACGTCCGTCCTTTTTAGTTTAAACACTCAAACGAGGGCACTGCTAAACAATGCCTATCGCTACACCTAAATAAACATAACAGACAAGTCAAACAAAACGAGGAATCTTTAGAGGCTTGAATTCCAGGAAAAGTACACTGACTGCTTTCTTGAAAACAGCCTAGCAAGTCAAAAATTATTAATGGTTTTTTTGAGTTTTGAATTTAAAACTAATGTCCAAGATACCAAATGTAAACAGGAAATACAGTACTTTGTGTTTCAAAATTGTCCAGAAGGCAATTAATGTCGAAAAGCATCCTTTCAGCCACGACGATGCAAAATTTTCAAAGCTCAATGAGGTATGGACGCAAGGTTTACCATTAACAGTCAACTAAAGAAAAACATTGCTTGGAAACAACTCAGTCTTTATCGTTTAGATTATTAGTAGCCCACGCGTTTATCTGGTAGCCAGAGTTTGTCATAACTTGCACGACCCGGCTTTCAAATGTCACAATAGCTAGTGTAAACTGTCACTCAATCGAAAACACCTCGAATGGAAAGATTCTTGTTCTGTGTTAGCTCATACATCACTTTAACTATTAAACGCAAACAATATTCTTCTGGTCGCGAGCTCAACTAATTAGTAGAAAGCTATTTTTGAAACTGTGTAGTCAGTTCTTTTAAAAAGCTTCCCCCTTAATTCCGCAATTATACAAATTCTAAACATTTTAAAAATTGGAAAGTTAGTGGCCCTTTTGCAATCATTGCTAATGTCGGCAGTGTTTCCTGCTTCCGGTTAAAACAGTGATTCCGAACTTATTTCGAAATTGCGAACATTTTCTTTGTAATTTTGAATAATCGTGACTACGGCCTCGCTGTCGAAGACTTGCAAATGCCTTCAGCGATGACGTGGAGCGAAAGAAGTTAAATTACTTTATTAGTAAGAAACAGACGAAAATTACTTACCATTCGATAAACCTCTTTTACGCAAATGAGCCATCGTAAACTTTAACCGCCGATTTTTTTAGGGTAACGTCTTTCTACAGTCAGTACAACATCACGAACATAAATTTGAAGACTGCATGTACTTGATCAATGTCGGACCGTAGTGCATTTACATAAATCTCTCCACGGCGAAAAGACTACTGCAAAGAACTTGTAAATGAAATGCACTACAGATGTATGTTGTCAGCTGGACTCCAGTCAACTGAGCGGAGAAAAGTGTACTTCTCAGCGGATGAATGTGATGAAGATACATTCAACGCTGAACTGGGCAGTACAAATTGCATGGCTAATGATGCTTGATTGTGTCGCTGTTTGCTACGAATTATCCCGTGGGGTAGACTCGTCGCTCTTCGTTACATAGGTAAGATTTGGACGTTTTACATTCTGCTTGACTTGAAATTCATGAACAAAGCTTGCGCCAATTGTATTTTAATTACACTCATTATGTTCTAAGACAGACAAATAGCTTAACCAAAACTGAGTAAGTAGAAACAAATCAACTCTTCCTCTTCCCCAGGAGTCTCGATCCAGGCTTCCAACTATTGTGATTATAGAATAAAGGGGTACGTTTCTAAAGAAACTATGGTGCTGCGTTGGTGGGAGAATATAACAAGGAAATTTAGTAGAGATATATAACAGGTAATTTGTTTATTTCTTCATCAAAAAATGTCGCCACGATATCAACAAACTTAAATTCAATCGTAACACCAAATTTCCCAACCTTCCTCGGAAGATTGGTCGGCACTAAAAAGTCTTAAAAAACGCAATGACAGTTACCAAAGCGGCTGACAAAGGCGGCGCAGTCGTTGTTTGAGGGGCCGACCTCTACCAAAAAGAAGCTTTGCGGCAACTTTCTGACACCTCCTTTTGTGCAAAAGTCGACAAAGGTCTCACTTTCATCAACCATAACGTTGTCCAAAATACGATTAACGATCTTATAGCTAAACAAGAATAATTGCCACTGAAAAAAATCTCACCATCATCACTCCTTGAACTTCGTGTATTTACTTTTTACCTAAAATCCACAAAGTTAACAGCCCAGGTCCACCCATCGTTTCTGCCCGCAATTTTCTCACCGAACTCATCTCCAGCTGTTTAGACAAAATTATGGCACCTATCGTCAAAACGCACTTGAAACTTTTCGTGCCTTTAATTTCCTTGGTCAAAACAAACTTATTTGCACAATGGATATTATATCTCTTTTTACCGTCATTCTCAATGACGAAGGTCTCCTGGCCATCAATTATTTTCTCGATCAACATAATGTTAAGGAACTCAGCTCTGAAACACTACTCCGTCTACACTCAATTGCTTTTCATTTGATGGTAACTACTACAAACAAACTAATGGCATAGCCATGGGTACTAAAATGGGACCCAGCTACGCCAATCTTTTCGTAGGTTTTATCGAACACCAATTTTTTAGTCAATACCACGGCCCCAAACCTGAACTCTACGGCCGTTACATTGACGACTGCATCGGCGCTACCTCCTCTACCAGGGAGGAGCTCACTCAATTTATAACCGCAGTCAAGTCCTTTCACCCGACTCTTAAATATACTTGAGAAATTCCCGACACTTCTTTGTCTTTTCTAGACATCAAAATTTCGATTAAAGGCAAGGTTTATGCACTGGTGTTTACTACAAACCTACAGATTCACATAGTTACTTGTTGTATTCGTCTTTGCATCCATCACACGTCAAGAATTCCATACCTTTATCAGACTTCGTCGTTTATGTAATGGCGACTCTGATTTTTCCGAAAAATTAGAAGAAATGTGCCAGTTTTTCGATAAGCGTGGCTATCCTGTTTCTGTCGTTCAAGCGGGCGCCAGTCAGCACTACAAACGGCTGAGAAGGAAAACACTGACCGCATTCCATTCATTCTCACATTTCACCCTCACAACCACACAGTTAAATCTATCATTCTTAAAAACTTTTAATTACTCCAAAACGATTCAGAGACCGGTACTATCTTTTCGCGACCTCTACTAATTTCATTAAAACGTGACAAAAACATAGGCAACTTTTTGATCAGAAGTTCATTTCAAACAAATGACCGATCTGCAACTTTCAAATGCGCTCGCTTACGATGTAAAACTTGTCCTTCCATTCATAACGTAGAGAAAATGTCGGGACCAAAGAGATCCATTAAGATAACAGATCAATTTACGTGTACCTCCGCCAATGTCATTTATTGCATAACTTGCTCTTATTGCCATAAGTTATACATTGGTGAAACAGGAGACGACTAGGTGACCGATTCCGAGAACACCATCACGACCTAGAAAGAAATGACAAGGCCGCATCCAAACCACTAGACACTTTAATCTCGATAATCATTCTAAACAACATATGGTAGTTTGCGGCCTTTCCCTGCATCTAGGCAGTTTGGAAAGCTGCAAAACACTAAAACAAAAATTTATCTTCCAAATCGGCACTCTTAATCCCCACGGTATCAACGAGCGCTTTTCATTTAACTAATTTATTCTTGTTTTCTTATCACCATATTCCCACCAATAGCATGGCTCCATTTCCTGCCTATAAATCCACGCACAACCCACAATTCCTCCAATCGCTCAAACAAAGGCTAACGCTCGAAACGTCAGCCTTTAAACCCTTTACGGTGGTCAATTTACGTTTTAAACTCAGTTTTTAATACTAAATTACCTATTGTGAAGAGAACTGCTCGAGTAGAGAACTATTTGCTGAACCGTGCTTACTGCTTAGTGCAGCTCGTATGGCACTTCACAAGAAATAGGCAGTTTAAGACTTGCATGTGGGTTCTGATACAGCGCAACTTTAATAGCATTTAAAATAACTAGAGTTTGTATAATGATGTAGTGGGGAAGTATTGCAAAAGTCAAAGTGTCGTATGTCCGACCTTGGTTTCGTTGCAAATTTTGCGGCTCTTTTGGGCATTAGTTGTTGATTGAAATGGTAAAATACTCTCACTTAGAATATGGAAAATTTTTCTTCAAATTTTGCAGATCAAACCTACTTTGGTATTTCTGCAAGGTGGCATTTCCTAAGAGTTGGTTGAGCCACGGAAATAGACAGGTTCAGAGGGAGATCCGAGAAACGACGGAGGAATGCAAAAAAGATGTTATCGAAAGAAAAGGCTGAAAAAGGGGAAAGATACAGTGGATTGAGCCTGGTTGGAAAGATGAATTGCTGAAGGAGGGGGGACAAGGGCTGACTCCTCTTGATTAGCTATCCACTATCACGTTGTTTTCACAAGGCTTCTAAAGAGGATCCCTGTGGGTAGTTTCAAAGCTATCGTACTTCAGCAAGCAAGATATTATTCTTTTGACCTCAGATTTTTCAAATCAGAGATACCGAGAAATATAGGTCGCTTAACCTTTGGTAGCTGCATTTCTCGTGAGGTGAAAATGCAAAATTTTCATTTTATAATTATACTTCCTCGTTATATCAATCAGAAAAATATATTCCAAACAAAATTTACTTCATGAGTGAGATATCAAGTTAGCTTCTCTTCAACAAACTGAGAATGATCGCACGATTAATTCATAAAAACGTTTCTTTGTGACCGCCTTGTTGTAGATAAGAGAAAACAACCAAGTTCTGTAGAGTCTTTTCGTCTTTAAAGAAAAAATTCCACCGGTTTTTTTTCTCTATGAAACATTTATTTCCGATGATTTCATGACAACTTGAGGCTTGTATCGTAATCAATTTGTGGTTTGTCATCGCGACAAACAAACTCTCGTAGTCTACAGGATTCCTTGTGAGTGTTTGGTCTATATTGGCGAAGCTGGCAAACCTCTACCTTTTTTTAGTTTTAAGATATCATGGGGTACAAGTTGGACTTTTGAGCGGAGTCGAGATAAAAAGTTGCATATCTACGGCTCGATTTGCGTCAACAATATTCACGACTGTCGTTTTCCCTTTACACTTGATAATGACATGAAACAACGTAAACTAAATTTAACGAACATATTTTTAGCTCAGAGTTTTGTATATTTAAATAACATTCTAACGTTGAAATTTGTTATCAATTTATATCTATGATGATGATAATGATGATGATGATATTCATGAGGATAATGGCTACTTGAGGTAAGGGATCCTTTCTCAATGTGCAAACTTTGAATGCAAAAAAAAAAAAACTTGTTGGACAATTTACCCGTAACTTCGCCTCTGCCAAGCGCTTCTTAGTGGCCACATTTTTATCATTTATTTGACAATTTCTTCTAGTAAAATGCGATAAAAATGTTTCCTCAGCGCTTTTTACTATTTTTAGCTGATCGCTCAATTCAACTAACGAAGATAAAAGAAAGATAATCTTTGATCTTTAATCTTGGTTGGTTTCCCTTGGGTTTTTGGTTTTTCATGTCAAGAACGGGTATGAATTGGGCAATGTCAACTTGCCAATACTATTGAAGATTAACCTCTGCTCGATAACAGGATTTAGAATAGGATGTAACATTAAAGATCTTCCTTTTTGAAAAAAAAAAACTTGAAATTGGCTGATTACATCCACTCATCCTAACAAAAATCTAACAGGGGTTCTTCCTAAGTTTCGACTGATTGATACACACGTATGGAGGTCCAAGAAAGGACAGACTTAGCGACTGAGTCACTGCGTTGCTTAAGTGTTCATGAGAGCCCATCGATCAATCGATAGATTGTTTTGCTTCTTTACAGTGTGGAAGATCCTCTTTTCAAAATCTTATTTCTGTTCATGAGAAATCCATCCAGTCTTTTTCTTCTTCTTTTTCTTCCTTTTCCAACTTTTTTGCGCACTCCGCAGCACGTGTCATTTCGTCCTCGGCCTCGCCGTTTCTTCCGAGACCACGCAGGGCAATTGCCATGTCTTGGTGAGTGTGAATTAGTTGTAGATGTGTGTCTGATACTTCTTCTTGCAAATCAATGGCCTCTTTAAGATATCTTAGGGCACTACAAGAGAGAGCATCATTAAATATTAGTCTGCTTCGTGGAAAAGCTATTGATAAAGACGTAAGGTAACAGATTGATATAAGTATTGCGCAGAGCTGCAGTCCATCTAAAACGCAAATCCTAATGGAGGAGAATGGCATCCTTCGTCTGAAAAGTGGGTATTATAGATAGCGATATGCCTTGGTTGGCATCTCAGTCATTCAATGGTACGCATTGTACAAAGCCATTTCCCAAGGATGGCAGCAGGTCTGAGAATAATCATTGATTATGGGAATGACGATATAGGATATCTGGGCATAAATAGCATAGTTACTACTTATATCACCTTGGGTAATCTTCTTTCGCGCTCAAAGCCACTCCCAAATCACGAATAGACTTAGCAGTTTCCTGATGGTGCCCCAGCAGTTGCTTTCGCATTTCAACTGATTTACCGATATATTTAACAGCATTGTCGTAGTCACCTAAGGCGTGGTAACTTTTGCCAATCCAGTCGAGTGTTGTTGCCGTGAAAGGATGCTCCCCGAGATTTTGTTCGTATAGAGGAAGCACATAGCAGAGTCTTGTTTGGATAGCACACATGTGTTTCCTTTGCACCATTTGAGAAGCTGAAACGAAACACAAGTGAATGAGAAGAAAAATTCAATAGGGGTTCAACATTGTCGGATTGACCTCGCTTTTTATATATATATGTGTGTTTTTTTTTTACCAAGATCTCTGAGATCGACCCACTAGTAAATTTCCTATATAAAGCGCCGTAAAGCTTATGCAAGGGTTTTTTTTTTGGGATCCCGACCTAACTTGCGTAGAACTGAGATATGTGATGAGGCCAACATGACTGATTGTGGTGCATCCTCACTGGAGAGTGTCCTTTCATGACAATAAAATTTGAAGAGAGTAAGAAAAGTATCTTTTTTTCCCAACCTGCGATATCATTATAACACGCTCCTAACATGACTTTGTCCTTGGTCTCATCTGATTTTTTTTCTCTCTTTGTTCTTAACGCTATGGCCTCGTTAAGATAGTCATATCCTTCGCCAAAGCGTCCCTCTCGAACACAACAGAATCCAAGCTTACTCAAGCAGTGGGCACGAATAGCTTCATTCACGTTTGTAAGCTCTGAATGGATTTGCTTAGCACGTGCCAAAAATCTCTTCGCTTGATACAACGCTCTAGGGCAAATGTACGGTCTGCATGTGCAGCTTAAAACTATTTTGACTCCGATGTTTGTCAAGCAAGCGCTCAATAGATGCCTGTCACGTTGACATCGATACGCAAACTTGCAAAAGAGGGAGACAAACTCTTGTTTTCGCATCATCTTTGCGAGAAATACGGCGGCATCGTTGAAAGCAGCAACACAGTGCTCCCTCACGGTTTGGTCAAGCTCAGGATGATCTCCACACCAAGCCATAGCCTCTCGAATGTTGTCCTTTTCAGATCTGTAGCGATTAATTGCAGACTTCTTATCCGCACTCAAAAATGTTTTGCAAAGGGAAACAGTCAAATTACTGTAGTGACGTAAGAAGACTGATTTGGCTTCTTTGTGTTCGGGCATTGATGAAAAAAAGTCTCTTATAAAAGGATGAATAGAGTAAAGACAGTTATTTCTGTCAAAGTTTAGGAGGCTGCTTTGTTTCAAGCAAATTGGAAACGTCTGCAGATCACCTCCAATTGAAGACTTGAAGCACGCGTCAAATTGTTCTTCCGTAAATCCTTTCGGAAATGTTGAGAACATTACAAATATCTTCTGATTCTCTTCACTAAAGCGATCAAAACAGATCTGTAGACACCTATCGATGCGATCGTCACTCGCTTGAAAGTCAGGGCTCAGTAATTTAAGAAGAGTTTGAGGTGAACATGAAGTAAGTCTTTGGGTGAACCTCTCTGGATTTTCTCTTCTAAGAATTGAGCGAACAGTACAGATAATAAGAGGAATGCCGCCACAAACTCTGACCAGCTCATTGATCGAGCCTTCGTCTAGTCTGTCGTCACACTTTTTGAACAAAGTAGCTGAATCATTGTCTTTCAGAGGCTCTAAATCAATCAGCTCAATAGGGAAAGACACACTGAAATCATAGAATTCTCTAGATGTTAGAACAAGATGAATGGTTGGGCATTTTCCTATGTCTTTTAGAAATGACAAGAATTCATCCTTTGTAAATTTCCCGCGCATTTTGGTGCAGTAATTTTTGGAGTTCAGCTCTTGCAGGTATTCATCCTTGCGAACTTGAGCCTCGAGGTGAAGTAAGTTGTCAATGTTTTCGATAAGAAGCACCCTTGACTTTGTTTTTAAAGCACGTATGCGACGAATTGCCTCAGTGATAGTATCTTCGCTGGGAACGAAACCTAAAGCTTCGATGATATCGCTTGCCAAGTCTTCTACACAAGTGACACCTCTTGGATTAACATAGGCAATGAGCTTTCCCCTGTTGATCAACCGATGGGCGACTTCAATTACCACAGAGGTTTTCCCATATCCAGGTGGCGCTACAATTTCAACCGCCTTGTTCGAAGACAAGGCAGTTATGATCCTTTCGCAGGTTTCATTGCGGCCCACTAAATCTATTTGATCGGGTAATGTTCCACAGTGACCTGAATGTTCCCTAACGTCTGCAACTAATTAAACGTAGAACAGTTTTAAAAGACTGGAATACTTAGGTAAAATAATCTTTTTTCTATCTAACCTGGTCTATACGGCTCCAGATGTACAGCAAATCAATCCTCTTATTCACAGCATTTCTCGCCCAAAGTCAGCTGTGGCCTAGTGCACGGTAGAGCTCAGGTAATTCTTTTTTTTTTTAACAACTATTAGAAAAATCTCTCTACAAGCAATAGCTAACACTGCAATATTCATCCTAAATATTATGCTTTCTTTATCAATCTCAATGGGACATTTCAGTGTTACTTCATGGGATCGTACACCCTACTCAGTAAAATCAATGTTTTCTTCTTACCTTCCTTTGGAAGAGAAATCTTCTCCTTCCAATTGTCGCTGGTGGATGAATTATGACCTGTGGGATCAGGCACTCTGAAACTGTCTTGTGGTGAACAACGAAGTCGCTCCAAAGTTGATTCTGAAAAAAACGATAAACAGAAACTACGATTAGGGTGCACATTAATGGTAAGTACGATTAAAAGGATACTTATCGCACTCAGCAGCTCTTCACGCTTCAAGAAGCAAAAGATTGTGGTGTAGACTGGCATAAGTAGCAATTGCAAGTAGTTTTTGGACCCATTGAATTAATAGTTTATTTGTGTAATTAACAGTGGAGCGGGGATCGCGCAGTGGTGATAGCACTTGGCTCCCACTGCTGTGGCCTGGATCTGGCCCGGTTTCCCGGAATCCCAGATCTGGCGTCATATCTTCGGGATTAAATTTTTGTTGGTTGTCGTCCTTGCTCTGAGGGTTTTTCTCTGGGTCCCTCCACAAAAACTAACATTCCAAATTACAATTCGACCAGGAAATAATGGACAGGAAGAGCCATCGAGTGGAATGTCAACTGCTAAATTACTGTTATAATGATTATCATTATTTGTAAAACGAACCATTTTCAAAGTGATCACTTACCAACTGTGTCTGGAAATTGCATTGATATAATCTGAATAGCATCGTTACGCTGGATCCTGTCCAAAGCATTTACGACGTCACTTAATGTTTTCTCCGGTAAGTTAACGGCCACCCATTGAATAACTTCCTTGGTGGGACTTTTCCGCTTTTTTTCTGTCGCACCCAATTCCTGACGCACATCATCGGGCACGTTCAGTTTGCTGGCGAGATGGATCCAGTTTTTGACGCCTGGTACTTCTTCGCGGTTGAGGTTTTCTGCCATTGTTTCTACAAGTTCCGGTTTTTGTGCCATTACGTCCTTCAGAAATACATCATCTACAAAGGAACAAATATCGGCAAATCGAAAACCTTACACTGTTATTTCAGTTATCTTTCAGTTCATCGATTCGCAAATGCCAAGACCTTTTAAGATCTTGGCATTTACGTTTCAAAATGAAATCTTGATTACAATCAAGAGGCAAGTTATATCTGATAATTTTTCTAGTTGTTGATAGGAAAACCATGGAAATACTGCTTGATCCCTTATCGGAAAGACTTACATCTGCATTTATGTAGCAATTCATATTTCAGAGAGAAATCCAAAGGAAAGTCCATGCTTTAAGAGGGTTAAGTCTTCACCGTTACCAAGGTTTTGCTGGTTATTTCCTAGAGCCCAAAAGATCATAACTTACTCTGTCTGGGATAAATTAATGTTTACGGTAAGTACCTCCTTGATCCTGTTTTTGTAGAATTTTTAGTACATCCTTCCTTTTGATGGAATCCAGGGCATCCTTCAGAGTTTTTAATTTCATTTCTGGACAAGTAATAACTAAATACCGCAATAGATTGCGGGTTGGATTATCTGTTGAACGTCGTTCAAACTCCCAACAAGTTTTTCTTGGCACTCCCAGTTTTATTGCCAAGTTGGACCAGCTTGACAATACCAGAGAGGTGACGTCTAGGGCCAATGCAATTTCATCCAAAAGGTCAGCTGTTAGTGAAGGAGCTTGAATATTTCGTGACGTGATTATGTCTTTTACTTTTTCAGAGTCAATGCACCCGGCTAAGAGAGAGGAATATACGTCACATGTTTTGGTACTATTTCGTTTTTTAGCATTACGTCTATTTCACATTATTTGTTGTCACTTTGATCGTGACGGCAGAACCGTAATGCCGGTGATCAAACCCGGTCCCATCCGAGGAAAATTCAAGAACCTTTTCAAACTAAATGGTTGAAACTTAGAAGAAAATCTCAATCTCACAGTTTAATAATCCCTCATTGCAAAGGTATGTTACTCGAAGAAGTTACAGGCGTTTAGATAGTTTTGGAAGCAACCAAGCTGCAAACTATAAAAGCAAATTTCGCGTCAGAAGAGCTAACGAGTCACTTAAAAGCTTTTGTGACGATATAGTTTAGTGCTATCATCTGATAATGAAAGGAGTTTCTTCAAATGCTGCAATTAGTAAATGTAATAAACAATTTTAAACCGGAATAGATCCTTCTACCCTTGCACGCGTTGAAGATGCTCTATTTTACATACAGGCTACATACCTTTCGTGGAAAGCAAACTAAACAAGTCGTTCCTCCTGATCTCCAGTAGCGCGTCTTTTAGTTGTTTAATCGTTAAATCCGGTTGAGTGACCTCGAGAAATTCAAACAATCGGATGGTAGGACTGTAGTCACTGTACTGTCCAAGTCTTTTAATGACATTCACGTCGACATCAAGATCCGTTGCCAACTGTCTCCAGTTGGGTATAAATCTCATTTCTCTGTCCAAGCATAGGGCCAATTGCTCTATGAGCTTTGGTCTCTTTTCAAGGATGATGGACAATTTACACTCTATGCATGGAGAACAGAAAGATTATGAAAATTTTTAAATTACACTTTCTAACTATGAAACTAAGAGCACGAGGTTTTTATCGTGTGATAGTTGATGAGGGCGAATCTTGACTATCAACTTTTTAGTTTTAATCTGCTAGTCGTTCAAACCTTATCAATAAGACAAGCTCGTGCTTTTAGTTTGTTTACAAGCGCTTGCTTTTAGGCCTCTCGCCCTTCTACCTATCACGCAATGGGTATAGTAGCGTAAGGTAGCCAATTAGATTGCAGCTCTGATAGAACACAAGCAGATTTATTCGAGGCAGTGTTCAAATATGTTTTGCAAAAAAGGCAAAGGCAGTGCCTTGGTTTTATAGGAGATAAGTATTTTCCATTCAAGTATCCTCTCTCCTTTGTTTACCTGAGGACTCACTCAGGCATTAACTGACGCAAGCTCTGTGACATGGCGCTAAGTCACCTCCTTAGGCCGGACGAACCCACTAAATACTATTTTTGATTGAGATACAAAAGCATCAAACTTTAAAGAACAAACCAAATATGCACGAGCAAGATTTCAAAACAATTGAAAAAGTAAATAAGCTTTCATGATGTTATAGGCTTAGCCCATTAAAACGGGAAACTTAATTTGCATACCGTATGTATACAGAATACGACAAGGGTAATTCACGATGTAAATCTCAACTTGGCGCTGACTTTGCACTTATCATCGCTGATTCAAACGTTACAATAACACCAATATTCAGTGAAAGATAGTGTGAAGTATTCCACATTTCGAGCTGGTTTTACGGTATCACTAAACTATCTTAGAAGATGATGCTTAGAAGAAGATTATAATTTACTTTTCATCGGTTTGTTGCGCCTCGCGATTCCTTCGCTGAAGCAATTTGATTTCGCAATTCCAGACCGTGTTTTTATTGTACCTAAGACGTTACAGCCTCAGTCCCTTGTGTCGACTTTTCTCAGTTACGTTTTCCATGATTTGCCGGAAAATAAGTATGCTTCCGCCTTATATTTCAAATATGTTGCGAAATTATTCACCACAAAACGTAAACCCGTAACCTTTTCCGAGTATTTTTCATCATATAAACAACGTTACCAGGTTTTGATTACCTGTTCTAATAAAACTACCACCACGCTATTTACCAAAAATTAGAAGCCCTTGCATAGTGACTCGATGATGATATTTTTAGGCGTCAAGCAGAGTTCCGCTTCGATGTTGTCGATTCAGTTATACTCTTCCTAACGTATTTCTTGCAAGATCATAAGAGTCAGAAGTTAAAGCAACTAACTGAATCACTCACCAGTTGAAAGATCACCAACAGAAGACATCTTGAAGTTTTGTCCGTTGAATTTTCTTAGTTATCTTCGCTCCAGCATTTATGCAAACGAATTGCTACACAGTGGATCAGTTTGTCAAGTAATTCCTCTAGCTGTTGACGAATCAGGGCTGGGACAGTCCTTTTGGCATCTCTCTTGGCTTGCTAACGGACAATCAGCTTCGCAAATGCCTCACACTGTTCGTGTCAAATTAAATCAAAACGTCGACAGGGTAACGTAGCGCTGAGTCAAGGTAACAGCATCAACTACGAGAAGCCCGATTAAAGGTCATTCACTAATGTTCCAGAATACCGAGGGGTAACCCAGTTAGGCGAAACGCGTCTAAGTCACCAAATAGAGTACAGCCTGAGATAAGATAGGGTATCAACGTGGTTTGCAACTCCTAGTCTCCGTAGCTGCGATGAAAATTTTTAAATGAACATGTTTAGATGAAATTTTCATTAGACAAACGAAACGCGACCGAAACAAGTAAACTGCCTTCCCCACCCCTCTCTTACCCATTCTCACTCTGTCCAGATCTCCTCTTCGAAAGTTAAGAAACTGACTCGGTGCAGCGATTTCAAGCCAAAACACAAGCACTCTTTTCTTTCTTTCTTTCTTTCTTTCTTTTTTTTTTTTTTCAGTCAGCGTGAGCAAAGAGGGAGTTACGCGAACAGAAGTCGTGAGGCTCTAAATTTCTTGGATACCCTGACTCGCGCGTTTTTTCATTTGAATGAAAGCAATCGGAAAACGCTGTAGTGATCACTGAGTGATGCAAGGAGGCGATCAACACCGACAAGTGTATTGATAACTGCTCCCATTCAGTAATAATATTAGATGGACGCACGTTTTGATGTTCCGTTCGGAGCCCAATGCCGTTAGTTACAACAACTTGCAATAGAAAGCGAGACTTGAACGGAGCTGAAAACTGAAGGCAAGCGGTCTACTTCCGTTATTGTGCTTTTTCACGGAAATCATGTTGTTTTCCAATTTTGTGGTCAGCTTGGCTGGACTTCCAGGCTGAAACAGAGAAATGGGCCTGTTATTAGTGGTCAAGCCGAATTTCTTATCTGGTTGCTCCAAAGCCTTAATTGTGTCCAGCATTTCCACTCATGTTTGGCAAGGACGTGTAACTCAACACTGCAAAGATGTCGGGCATAACCGCACGAAAAGTTTACAACACATGCACTGACATGTCTCCTTCTCAGCCGTTCTCAGACTCGTCACGCAACGCTCCTCCTCTCCGTTCGTTGAGGAGGAGCGTTGCGTGACGAGTCTGAGAACGGCTGCGAAGGAGACTAAGCCTGGGGAGAGAAAGAAATTTTTACCAAGGGTATGAGAGAAATTGATAAAGAAGCATAGGAGAGGGGGTGGGGTACAATCTCCTTTTTCCTGTCCCTCCCAGCACTTTAAATCAAACATGGCCAGTCAAATATCGCGAGCTTGTAACGTTGACCCGCCCAAATAAGACGCCTACAATTCAGATTAGACATAGGCTATTTACTGACTTAAAGGTGGGTTGATCTGCCTTCAATTGTTAGATTCCGTGGCGTCAATGCAATGTGACTTTATTGATATCAAAATGGTGCAGTGCACATGGTAGTCATCGTGATGGACATGTGTTCTCTACCATTTCATTCAAGTTCGGAAACCTCTCATTTAAAATGAGGATTGCAAGTACTCTACTCCCCAGTTTTCTCACTCAAAGTACTCTGTAAGGGCGAACGAATTGAAACGGATCAATATCTGCGCTTTAATAAGCGAATGCACAAGGTAACAAATCTGCATGTGCGGATCATGCGAAACAAAGGTTGTGATTTCTATGAAGAGCAATTATTAGATAGTTAAAGTCTTAGTTTTGGATAATGCACGACTCTGCAATAAGGATCGCGGTTTGATGGAGTTTCAAGGTAGTTTAACAACTACGTTTCCCAATGACACAAATTTCACGGCTGGAACTCTTCCTAAGACCTTGTCTGCTGTTACAGCTTCCCTCTCGCTCATGGGATCCTTCACAATCTTTCTCACGTTCTGGATGTCGCCCGACTTGCGAACTACAGCTCGCAAAATGATCGTGTTTATAACAGTCGCCGATTTCCTATTTGCTGGCACAACCATCGTAGATTATTTGGAAGACAGATTAGGATCAACAGGTTATTTCGTTCGAACACTTGAGGTGACAATACCAAGAATTATGGCGCTTGTTTCATCGCTCATTTGGACAGTTCATTTGTCCTTCTTTTTTTACTTAAAAATTTGTAGAAGAATTTCCATGGAATCAGAAAGATTGTTTTTAATGTTTTTTCACATAACGGCTTGGGGAGTACCTTTTGTGATCACTGTGGTTGCTTATTTCTTCAACGGAGTTCAATTATTGGCAGACCTTGAAACTGGATACAAGTGCTGGATCCGGAATGAAAAAACTTGGAAGGCAATGTGCATCTGGACAACTATTACAGGAGAGGGCTGGGCCATCATGACATACATCACCATGACTGTGTTCTACCTACTGGTCAAGCAGCACATAAGAAGAGAGGTATTCAAAAAAACTTCAATAAGGTCAAAAAAATTTGATTGAAATAGTGCTCAGAGGAATAGGTTAATTTTGCACTTAAGCTGGGTGGCCCATCCAAGTGGAGCCAATCCTGGTTTCTGTTGCACAAAGCCAGAAGGGTGCCAATCCATCTTAGGGTTATCCTAATAAGCTTTTGTCAGGCTTTTACAATAGTTTGCCAATAATCATTTCTTTATATGCCCAAGAGGAGAGAAGCATGGGGAGAGTTCAAAATGCTTAGTATCCAATTTCTTCTTGCATTATAACCCTTATATCAAAATCAAATCAAATTAAAAAAACAAATTCTCTCAGCCATTACCTCAAAAAAAAATGTTTAGAGAACAGTATGGAGTATATGCATACTGATGTTAGAGTGTAAAGCAGTAAGATAAGTTCAATGCCAAAAAAATATAAAATAATAACCCAGTCAGCACTCCAATTGGGACTTCTTTGTCAAGTCTTCAGAGCATTACCCAGTAGCTGGGCTAAATTTCATTCCACTGAGGATATGAATGAGATGAGATTCCTATCACTTTATTGGTATACACTTCAGTCAATGTAGTGGGGATATTTACACTTTTAACCCCTTAACTCTCAAGATCTGATTGTTAATTCTCCCCTCTAGCTGCTACACATTTCCTTGTTAATAAGTTGGGAGAATTTGGTGTTAGATCAAGATAACAACTTCTACCTGATACATTTGAGTATTCACATCACCTGTTTGTTAGATAGTGCATGGATATTGTAGGGAGAAATTACTTGTTAATCACTTCTGGGAGTTAAAGGGTTAACTTAATACTGGTAACTAGTAACTTGGTTCTCTTTCTCAGACTCTGCCTACACTCTTTCACTTAGCACCTGTAGTTCCCTTTTTCTCTTTGCTCACCTCATGATCAGTCTAGCTGGCAGAGCAACATTGTAATGAACAATTTCTTTTCTCTTTTTTTAGCTGAAGTCAAGATTTTCTCCAGGAAGCACATTTTTAACATGGAAATCCGCTCATGTTGCAAGAATGATAGACTGCAAATTAACATTTATTCCCATAATATTTATCGTGGAGCGTATTTGGGGCACCATACGATTTTTCCTCCTTGTAACACATTTTCACAATCATGGAAAGGAAAATTTTACTTTACAGTGGCTTGAAATTCTTCATGTAAGTAACACTGCCCTATACTATCACTGAAACACTGTTTGATAGACCGGTAATATTCTTGTGTTATTCAATGCATCAGTAAGATTTTATCGCTTAATTATAAACATATAGTCTTCTTTATGCTCTGAAGAGGTTGCAGACCCTGATTGTTTGAAGCTTGGATGACACTATCCACTGGCTAAATCTCTGTCTGTTGGACAGTGCAGTGCATTTTGCAATCACTTATCTGCTATGTGAGAAACCTGCTTGTTGATTTTAAAACGCAGTGGTTGTCTATAAAAGCCAATTCCACATATCTCACCTATGTGCTTTTGTATTTACCCAAATTTATGGTGTGTGGCCACAATAGTTTTTTTTTGGTTCAGTGGGGGAGGGAGAGGGGGGCTGCTTCTTAACCCTTTGTCCCTAATGAGGTACTTGCATCTAATTTCTCCTTACAATGTCCCCCCTGAATCACACTTTTAGGACACAAGAATAGTCTGAAATGATCACCAACTAAACAAACTCTTGATTGTTGAACAAATTCTCCTTGTCAGTACCTTAGGAAATGTATAGAAAATAGTACAGAGAATATGCACAGTGATGTTAGAGTAGAAAGGGTTAATGTATAAACCAAGTTCTAACTTTTACTTTGTATGCTTTTCTTCTAGGGTATTGGGATTAACAGCCAAGGATTTACAAATTTCATCTTGTTTGTCTGGTGTACCACAAAGATAAGAGAAAAGTTAATAATGGGATGTGTTCATTGCTTGTCACTTTTTTGCAGATATCATAAAAGAGATCAACCAGTAATTAGCAGAGAGAGGTTTTTTAAAACATTTAATGATGAATAGATACTGTCAGTGCTCATGCTCTGTAGTTGCCTAAATTACATTATATACTTGTCATTTAGTTATATATATGAGTTCTTTTCCAAGAACTAACAATTATGACAAATGTGTAGTTACTGGAATTTTTCACAGTTGTTTGGTTAGAACAAAAATTCTTTTTTCCTCTTAATTGGAGTATGTTATTATTATTTATTCTTGTGTATGTTTTTCCCATATTAAAATGAAAAACTTTAATTTATTGCTTTAAAGCATTGCCATAACTCAGGGAACAGTTATACTTATGAATGACAATTGTTAATCACTTCTGGGAGTTAAAGGGTTAACTTAATACTGGTAACTAGTAACTTGGTTCTCTTTCTCAGACTCTGCCTACACTCTTTCACTTAGCACCTGTAGTTCCCTTTTTCTCTTTGCTCACCTCATGATCATGTTCCTTTACTAAGCTAAAAAATCACAATCTTTCTTATCCAAATTTTGTAATATTTGTATGGAGAATTTGGTATTGGATCAACTAACTATCTCCTTATAGATGGTTTTCTTTATTCCCATTACTTGTTTGCTTGATATTCTAAGGAGAAACTCTGTCTTGGTCACTCATAAAAGTGGAAGAGTTATAAGCCACTGTAGGTGACCTAAAATCATACCCTGGTTTTGCATTTTATTGTGAGGTTTCATCTCACAGATCTCAATGGACTTTCTTATGAATGGTGCGGCTCGGTTCAACTGTTTACGCTGGCCATAACAGCGGCCAAGTTTACCCAGACATAAAGCGCGAACAATAGATGAGTTATCACCAATATCCTGTTGTATCCTGTCTGCTTTTTCGAATTTATCAACGGTTTTTTCACACAGACTTTCGCATGCATAACGTGAAAGAATGCTGTAGGCCTTCGCTGTTATGCAGTCACTCTCCTCTTCTAATTTTCATTGTAGGCATCTGCTAATTTTCCAAAGACTGTCAAATTTGTCTTTTTCGGAACATCTTGGCTGGAAAAGGAGTAACTTTGACAGCAGTGTCTAAGCACTTTTTTTCGAGTCGGGATAATACATCATGGAGTCCTCCAGGGCCTGCCGAATGTTGAATCGATTTTTCAATAACTGTTGGGCTGCATGGCAACATTGTGTGGAAATGTAACATCTCTAAATATTTATTTTAAAACATTTTTTTGGCTGATTGGTAAGTTGGCTTACAATTCCTCTTGATTTGCACGATCAACACGGAGCGACTGGATAGTTTTGTGAAGGTGATCTTCTTGAGCCTTGCAGTTATATTGGAGCATTTAGGTATCTACAAGACCTTGCAGAAACATTTTCAGTTCGTAGTTGAGTCAGTGACTCAATGAAAGTTGGGCATCTCCCTCACTCAATATTCTAGGAAATACTGCCGACGACACAAGAGCAGCTTGCCGGTCAGGTTTAAAACGACTGAAACAGATCCCGAGACAATAAAAGGGTTGGAGTTTAGAGGACAGTTTTGAAAGATTGAATGACTTTAGCATTGAAACTGGACTTGTTTGGAACGTACTTCTGAGGGTTTTGGTAGAACTTCCTTTTGCTAACACAGCAGCTGTGGTACGCAGGACTACCGGCACTCCTCCGCAGTGATGGGCTAACTGTTCTGCTTCTTCCGCCAATTGTCCTGAATCAAGAGCAACGAGTAACTCCTTAACATCAACTAGGGAAAGTAAGTCTAGCAGGACTGGAACCATATCGACAAATAAATATTCCATCACTTGGCAGGACATAATTATAAGTTTAACCCGAGGAACACTATGTCCCATACATTCCAAGAACTTCAAAAATGTATTTTCATTGGCCAAAATGATGTCTTGAACGTCATCTAAAATGATAACACTGTAATTAATTACTTTACTAAGACAGTGCTTGGCTTGCTCGATTGGTCTATCGCCGGCACAAATTTGCAAAGCTCCAAGGAGGGAGTGAGCCATGCCATTCGTTGACGTTAAGCTGTCGAGCGAAACGTAAAACACGTCTACCTTACCCTGGGAAACCACTTTTTTGTTGACATATATTTCTTAAAACACGCTCTAGCATTTGTATTTTCTGGTAGCCAATTGAAACGCGCGTCAAAAAGCACATGAAACAATCAAAATTATGGATTTTGGACAGAGTAGAGAACATAATTGAACTCCTGGAAAGGCTGTGATGATAGAAGCTCTTGTACGTATTTGCATTCTTGAGGCAAGACATCGTGATATGGTGGTTTGACAACTACTTAGATCGTTACTACGTCCCAAGACACTAACAAACACCCAAAGGACAAGAAACCCTTTTCTTTGTTAAAATTTTCGATTTTGTTGATCAGATCTGTGGTATCTCTGACAAATGATGGTAAATTCTGCAATTAAGGCTTAAATTGTAATTCAGTAAGGGTAGACAGTCTTTTAGTTGCCGTTCCGCCACAAGGTGTAATGAGGCGGTGAGGATAATCGTCTTTGCACGCTTACTTGTAAAGTTTGTCTCCTGAGCTCTTTGGATTTTTCCAGCTAACTTAATCTTTCCTGCATATCGCAGAACCAAAACCCTCAATGATATTTTGGCAACTTCACAATTTTTAGGTGAAAGGAGGTTCGATCCGGCGAAGGAAGAAATGAAAGGATGATGATGACAATGACACGGGTGATGTTTGAAAGGCCTGTTCGATCGTTACATCTTGTTTTGTAACTTTCTTCTGTGACTTTTCAATTGACGGGGAAGAAATGTGCATAAATATTTGACGAAAACCGCAAAGTATTCCTTTTATAAGCAGTGAAAATAAAGTCTGATGAAGTATTGCTCTTACAGCTTCGTCCCCAGAACAATTCCGTCTTTTTGGGGAAGTGCATGTCTTCATCTCACTTAGTGCAATCCTTATCATTGCTGAATCAACGCAATTTTGAAAACAAAGCTTTACTTCTGCTTCTTTTCAATGAACAAAAATAATTTCAGTGATAACCAATATGTAAATCAATTTCTTTTATTTATTTAATACTTAACCAACAACTAAATGGAATCATTATCCTGTAACAAATGAACTCCGCGTTGCCATAGGTTTGCTCAAAGTTAAATCATAGACGAAGCAAATATGTGGAAAGAACTGAAAAGTGGCTATTCACAGTAAGATCTTAGAGGACTAATGTGTGTTCTGTGCTTAAGTTCTGAAAAAATACACTATATCACGCGATACATTTATGCCCAAGGTGATACAACGCTCTTTCTGATTGGCTGTCGTAAAACTGGAACCAAAGCAATCAGCATGAAGGCAAATTTCACAGCAAGATTTTGAAGTGATGACAAGCAACTGCTGATGAAATGGAAAACGCGATTAGTTTTAGGTCTGGGTTAAGAGTTGGCGCGAGACTTTTGGACCAATCAGAGAGCGAAGGAAATCAGAGATAATGCCTAATTTCAGCGATTACTTTCGAACCGTAATGAAAAATTTTCGAGGACGTCACAATCAAATTTCTATGGTATAGTACTATTTTTCTCTCTCCCTCTCTCTCCTACTCTCTCTCCCCCAATCTCTCTCTATTTCACTCAATCTCTCTCAAACACGCCAACATTTTAGTGAATAAAATCTAACTTTTGTAACTGTATAACATTACCAAGAGTCCCAAGAATTGCTATACAAAACTGTTGCTTCTGGCGTACTTCAAAAAGCTTCCCTGTTTCCAACTTTTTGGGAAAATTGACTCAGTAGCATATTACTCAACTTTGTCTTACAGCGAACAAAATCCTCTTTCTTTTTCTTCTCCCTTGAAGCCTTATCTTAAACCACGGGACGAGGACCGAAGATGAAGTCACAAACGCCAGCTTTTAAAAATGTACTGCGAATACGAACAACTTTTCCCTTAACAACGTCGCGCTCATTGCTCTACTCACTGAGTGAAAAGGCACAAAAGGCTCCTCTGGAAGCCACCGTTATGCTAAAGAGGTCAACCGATGCGTAAGTATAACTTAAGATCTATATTGAAGCTAATGGTTAAGAATAGCACTAAGTTTAACGAATCATTTTCCTTAAAGAGTTATTATGGCCGGTACTTGTATATAAACAGTTTCAAAGGATACTAAAAGTATAATCAGGACTCGGGCTGGGGCTCAGAAACAGACATGGACACCTGTTGAGCCATTAAATCCTCTCTTTTGGCTTCTTCATGTCGCCCAAGCTTTTTTAGGATGTAAGCTATCTCCCTGTGTGAACGTTCTGTCTCCTGGTGGTTTCCTAACACTTCGTCTTGGATAGCGAGGGCACTTCTAAGAGCTTCGAGAGCTTCATCCAGGTCTTCTTTCATGGCTAAAGCCTGTTGATTGAACAGCTAATGATTAAAATTCTGCTTAATCGGTAACTAACAATAGCGTTTATGGGGCCTTAAAACACCAAGGTGAAACGGACAAATATCGGTGGAGTGATAAAGAATAGTGATTTTGAAGCTTAGAAATCCAGATACTTGCATCCTTGAAGTTGCTGTAGAGGTTCAATCAACGAGGAGAATTCTGAGAATGGGATAAAATTTTAAAGAACCCTTACAGATATATATATTTACCTTTCCAAAGTCATAGAATGACCTTGCTGTTACTTGATGATTACCCAGAGAGTGTTTTCTTATGTGCAGCGCTTTACGCAGAAACTCTATCGCACTGCCATAGTTTTCAAGAGCTTGATACGATGTTCCCAAGTCGTCCATCAAAGTAGCTGTGAAAGGATGGTCTCCCAGGAACTCTAGATACACTGGAAGTGAGTACTCCTCCCTGATTTTATTGGCCTCTTGATGATCTCCACAAAACGCATATGCAGCTGCAAATAAGAGAGCCGCAGAAGGCTTAGATTAATCAGTTGTCTCATGAGTAAACAACAGCCATCATTAATCATATCAGTCATGGGAAATATTTTACATTTAAACAAAATTTGCTTTTGAGGATGCTTTACTTTAGTTTTGGATGTTCTCTTCGGTAGTAAATAAAAATATTAAACTGACTTTGATAAAAGGAAACCCTACTCGTATGATTAAGATTTGCCCATGTTCCGGCATTGAAGAGCTAAAAAATCGTTTCAGTACTTGTAAACAGTCTTGAGGATATCATGTAGTGGTTCGCGCTCCATTTATGCCGCTCACCGAAAAAAGACCTGTGTGTAGGTACCTCAAAGCAGAATTATTAGAGGGGACTGCTGGAGAAAGCTAGTGAATTTCAGAAGACTGATTCTCGCTTGGTCACGCGACTCTGCACGTGACTGTGCGAGAATAATTCAATATGGCGCCAAGCTTACCATGGGTTAAGGGACATTTTCGAGTTTTTCGTCAGTTGAACGGTTCTGCACTCTATGTGTGAAAAGAAAAATCATGCCAGGAGAAAACTAATCCATGTTTGGCTGTGATTCGAGCCGGAGAAACAACGGCGGTTTTGAGTGACTTAAGTCCTGGGGAGATTTTTCTGGAAAGAGGAGCGCCTTGTGTATAAGGGCTGAAATTAAAATATTGTTTATGTGGTCCGATTACTCAGTGCACCCTTTCAAAGAGACATAATGCAAGATTTTACCTCCCAGGTCTTTATAAGCTGCTGCAGTAAAAATCCTGTTGTTCTTCTTCTCACCGATCTCAATGGACTTCTTTATCAGTAGAATGGCTTGATCCAAGTCTTTGTGCTGGCCGAAACAGCGGCCAAGTTTACTCAGGCAAAAGGCACGAATGATAGATGAGTCATCGCCAAGTTCCTTTTGGATCTTGTCAGCCTCTTTGAATTTGGACACAGCCGATGGACACGGAAGGTGACATGCACAATGGGAAAGGATGCCGTAGGCCTCTGCTGTCAAACAGTCACCTCGTCTCTTCTTATCTCCATTTGCAATGCAGGCATTTGTAAATTTACTGTATACTCTAAGGAATTTAGCTTTTGTGAACACCTTGGCCAAGAAAGGAGTAACTTCGACTGCCGTATCGATGCACTTTTTCTCCAAATCGGGGAAAGATAGAGAATCTTTCAAGGCCTTCTTGATGTTGAATCGATTGTTGACAAACTTTTGGACGGCATCGCAGCAATTGTGGGACAAGAAAACAGCGTATAGATCCTGTAACATTTCCAAATACCGAACGTTGAATAATTTTCTGGCTGAATGGTACTGTAGTCTCATATCTTCTTGGACTGCACGATCAACACAAAATGACTGAATGATATTGTGGACGTGGTACTCTTTTGACATGAAATTAAACTGGAGCATGGACTGATCTACTAGCCCTTGAAGCAACATTCCAAGTCTGTACTGAGAGAGGTGGCTAAACAGAAACTGGGCTTCAGCTGCGCTGAATGTTCTTGGGAAGACCGCCAAAGATACAAGAGCAGTTTTTTGGTCAGGTTGTAAACGACTGAAACAGATTTCGAGGCAGTGAAAAAGCTGATGATCATGGGACAATGTTGGAAGACTCGACTTGAATGATTTCAGGGTTGGCACCAGGCTTGTTTGGAACTCGCTTATTAGAACTTTAGCATCAATTCCTTTCGCTAAAACAGCAGCTGTGGTGCGTAGAATTAACGGCACTCCACCGCAGTAGTGGGCCAACTGTTCCGCATCTTCCTCTGATACTCTTGACTCCAGTGTCAAAAGCAACTCTTTGGCGTGGTCTGGACAAAGAGAGTCCAAGCCGACTGGTAACTTATTGACAGATAAAAAGTCTATTACTTGGCGGGATGTGATCATGAACTTAACACGAGAAGCAGTTTGGGCCACAGACTTCACGAAATTGCAAAATGCATCTTTCTTTTCAGGAAGTAACATGTCGTCCACGTTGTCCAAAATGATGATGGTGTGATTTGATAGTGTGCGAAGACAGTGCTTTGCTTGCTGGATTGGGTCTGCGCCGGCTAAAATTTGAAGAGCTCCCAGGAGGGAGTTTACCATGCCATTTAATGACCTCATACTCTTGAGGGTAATATAGAACACATCCATCGTTCCCTTTGAAACCAGTTCACGTCCTACTTGTATGGCTACTGCAGATTTGCCAAAACCTGGAGGTCCTGTGATGGAAACTATGCGACAGGTATCCTTCGGAGACAGTTTCTCCATTATGAGGGAGCGTTGCCCTTTCCGCCCCACAAAATTTGGAACCTCACAAGGAATACCACCCACGTTCTTGAATGATTTTGTAAGAGCAGCTTCTAATAGATTCAAGACAAATTAGCAATTAAATTGAGAAAATAAGCATAAAAACAGTAACTTTTCCTTGCTTTAAGTTTTTCTGTTAACCATAGTAATTATAAGAGTTTGTAAACCCCAGAGACGACCACGACCCTCTCGAATCGTATTACTTAGAGTTACTACGAAAACATGCTGATTGCTTTGGTCACGAGGGGAAATCACTTGTTAAGGAGTTATGCCAGCACTCCTTCAAATTGGAATAACGTAAATTATATAATAAATAGCACATCAATCAAGGTTATATCAACCTTTATTCAACTTGTGTAGTGTAGGCGAAGTAAGTAAGCTTGTAAGCTGGAGAACTTTCTGGTAAGTTGCACACTACCTTCTAAGTTTTGGAAAGACCTCTTATTTAATTTACTCTGCAATAAACACTGTGCAATGTAAGTCATTTAATTCACAAATCTACGAGTTTCCACGTTAAATACTTACCTTGTACACCAAGTATACGATTTCTGAGGTCCATCCTTCCAATGTGATAGAGCAAAGAAGACAGCATATGCTTATTTTCATCACTCGAGGCGGAGTAATGAGTGACATCGCAAAACCGCTCGCGCCGCGGGCGTTTCGCTGTTTCGAGACGGCTGACTGGAATAGGTAGCCCGCACAACACATTTAGCTTCTCAAAATCGTCATCAGTTAATTCCTCCTCAATAGAAAGCTGCGACTGGCTTTCACCTGTATCCAATGGGATTAGAATATATCATTATGGAGACTCTACAACTGTAAAACTAGAATGTTCCCCAGTATTTGAGTTTCTGTGTCAAGACAAGTAAACTAATTTATTTGGAAAGGTTACTTTCTCTGATTTTCGGCCTCGGTTCATATATCTTGATTGGGTAATCTGATATATATATATATATATATATAGCAAAAACAGACCACCTTGATAGCTACGTGAGGCACTAGGAAAACAACTTCAGTAGCGTTTTCTTTCCTAAATTTTTAAGGGGACTTAATACCTTAAAAGACCTATGAACCCAATTATCGCATGGATATTTAAAAAAAAGAGAAAAAAGCTTGATTTGGAGCTGAGCTCTCTCTCTATCAGAAAGGAATCAACAGTGAAAATGAGCTAACAGCCTTAAAAGCGATACTGAAATTACTGCTAGTTGCACAGTTTGATAGACCTACCTGGGACACCTCCTAGAGACACTACATGGTCTTTTAAATCGAGCAGTAACTCATGGGTTTTTTCCGTTTTATCGTCAATCGATTTGAGTTGATCTCTAATGTCATCATCTTGTTTTTGCCATTCTTTTAAAAGGCTTTTGTAAACTTCTTCAGCATCAGGATCCATGCACTCAGTTTTCATTTTTCTTATCACTTCGTCATACTTCGCCCCTCCTAGTCTCAGTAACACTTCTCGAATATCATTCCAATGGCTATTGAAGCTGGTTTCATCAATGGAGGCCTTCGTGACATGCGCATACAGGGAATTTCTGAAATGCCTCATTCTCAAAATGTCTGCCCCAAGAGAGTGATCCATTGAAGCTGGAGGGCGTCTCCAACTTGTTGCTGGAGGTGACAGGTTACAGATGTTTATCAAGAGCACGCACAAGGTAGAGATGTCAAAATTCTCAGATGAAACCATCTTGTGTATGGCTGGGTTCATGGAGTCCCACTGTGCTTGGCTAAGGATCCCTCTGGATCTCAGAGACTTCAGTTTAGGCATACAACTGTGAAGTATGATGTGGAGATTTGCAGGGTCATGGATGTCGTTGAATTTCTCTCGTAATACCTGGGAGCCCACTTCAATCAGGAGCCGACAAAGTCGTGCATAATTAGTTGCTTCTTTGGTAAATGATATTGGCAGTGAATGAGAAGCCATAATAAAGATAGTTTGTGACGGCTGAGACTTGAACCTGCCAAATATTAAATAAACAATAGTTCATGTAGCAAATGGAATTTCTGTTGTGTTCTTTGACGAGTTTGCGTGAAGTTACGCCAGGGTAACATAACCATGTGTGGATATTTATTGTCATCCGTATGCCGCCTTTCGTTTCAATCGCAGTCTTGTTATTTCTTTTTAAAACCACTCTAGTGCCTTTCTTTCTCTCTTCTTTTCTTTTTCCTTTTCTTTTTTTTGTCACAGGACTTTTTGCGGACAAGAAATGGAAATGATCAGGATAGGTGCATAGATACCTATTTTTCTCGTAAAAATTTCCAGCCTAAGGTCAACAGCAAACATTGTACGTTGTTGCAGGAGATGGATTGAGCTTTTAAGTTATATAGCTATATATAGTTATCTACAGTTAAGTTTTTCTGAGTTCTACACGTGTATCGTGTACGCATTCATTGCGTATATCAGATATCTGCCGCGTACTTTCTCTAATCGCAAAATTGGAGAAAGAACGGATCGCTTACGCTTCAAGAACATGATGACCGTGAATAAACATCTCTCTTAGCAACAAAGCAACTCTAAGCCAATCAGTGCTCATTCGAATGTTCTTCGTTAGTTACGACGCGTTCAAGCGCTGCCTTTGCTTTATGAACGCGAAACAAACTCGCCTTTACTTCCCTTTTCAACGCTGTAGTTTTAAAAAGAATATGGCTACGGATCTTGATCATGTCTAATAATTATGCATGAGAAACTTGGGACCAAAGAAAAAGTGCGGATAATCGAGAAATCCGGGTAATCGGGGTCCTAATAATCGAGGTTCGACTGTAAAGCATTAACAGTTGTGGTGCAATTTCTGTCTTTTTCTAAATATATTCAGGGAAAGAAATCTTCAAAGACATGGAAATGCCTAATCTTTATCATCAAATTGGTGAAAGAACTATTGGAGCTTTCTAGATTTATCCTTGTTAGTTGAACAAATAAATCGAAATAATCCCGTAGTGAAGTAAATATGATGTGTATTGAGCGTTGTGTGAATCAGGAAGTCGGCCTTGCACTGGAGTGTTTTCTCTAACAACTTAAGGGTCTTCTTGGCTGATATACGACACGTAAACAAAAGTTTGTGTTCAAAAGCGCCACGAAAACGCGTACGGAGCAGTTTGTGCTTCCTTCGTGCCGGCCGTAGCGGCTTATAAACATCGCACTTCTAAATCACAAACTGGTTGTCTCTTCTGGCTTTGATTTTGATCTAGCTACTGCGTATGTATATCATAAGTTGAATTCGCAGTAAACTATATGGAAACTAAATTAAACTTACCAGGATGGTTTACAGTTTTGAACGCTTATCGGGCAAATGCGCCGTTGCTTGCGCTATCACGTTCTAGTAATCAGAAACACGGCAACCGTTGACGTATTTTCATGGCGCTGCTTTGGGTAATGACATCATCCAGGGTGGCAAAGTAAAGGCCAACCTTAAGGCGACCTAGTTGGAAATTTGTATTTGCACTTTATAAGATATACTTTCGTATGCTAACATTTGAACTAGAAATACTTTTGTCGAAACCTTTTTGTTCTTTTGTTTCGGAAGTAAACAGATAAAACACATCATATGTGCAACAGCTATAACATAAAACTATTCTCTAGGTCTTTTAATACAAACGGATCAATTTGATCATTAATTTAGAAACACTTATGTAACTTGATGAGCGCATATTTTCGAATGACAACAACTATGATCAAAAGAAATGACAGGTAACTTCGAAAACTAATTTTTCATTTCATCACGCAGAATGCCTATTGTTTTCGGGACATTTACTTGCAGTTGATGAAATATCTTACGTCTGTCATATTGCGTTTATTATTTAAATAAGCATGAGCGGAACGAGTCTCATTGGTTAGGACGGTTAAAAGAAACGCGCGCTATTTTCCCGCAGGGAATGAGGTTCTGCTCATCAACTTGAAGGGGGCGGATCATCAAAACAATGAACTTTCCTGCTATTGTGTTCGCTATTGTCTAACTTATTCCCATCTCTTAAAGGAAATTTACCGTTTATGCAAACTCATAACTCCCTAGAAAAGGGAAAAAAAGTTGTCATTAATCCTTGTAAAAAGAGAGCAACTCGTGTGCCCTCAGTTAGTCGACGCGTTTAAGCAAAACAGCTACACGCTGGTCGGTTCCCGTGCAGGTGCTCTTTGTCTGCGTGTCACAAGCTTTTAGTTCGGCTTTCTCTTGTCTGTATTGCTGCTTCTTTCACACTTTTGTGTAATCGTTTCCAGAATGGGCCAGTCTATGCCGCATCTTGTTATACAGATCGGCCGCCTTTCCCTCCACGCTCTCGTAAAGGTTTTTTTCTCTTCCATGAGGTGCGCCAAGACGTCTTTTGGTGATTCCTCGATCTCCTCCAGTTTTACTCCCACCTTAATCCACGTCTCCTCTCAAGTTTGTCATCTAAATCGCTAGGGTCTTCGAGAGAATTCTTCAGCACTTCAATGATGTTTGCTTTCTGCTGTCAAAACTTATGGATCGCAACCAAAGCTGAATCTTTGCTAATAAACTCTTTACTCAAGACTCTCAGCAGGCCAAGGTATGATGGTTAAATTTACGCTGAGAGGCGCGCCACAGGTCACCCATGCCTAAAGACTCTTTCTCTGTCCGGAAGTAGGCTTGGACCAAGGGATGCATCCTAATCTTTCCATTGGCGTCCTCTGAGGAAGAGCATTCCTGACCATCCTGGTCTTTACTGTTTCACAGTGTAAACGGAATCTTCAAAAAGACGCTGAATGTCTTGAGCTGAGAACTCCGATAGGAAAACAGAAAAAAGGACAAGATTTCGCTTTACCTCATCGGAAAAATTGTCAAAAAATACTTTCAGTGTGTTATTAACATCGTTGAAAAGTTGTATGGTTGGATTAACAGCTCGCGACTAAAACCATTGTTCAGTGCGTCTTAACAGGTAAAAAGAAGGAGAGTATCCCACCACATAATTTAGCAATTTCTTGGGAGTGTTCCTCACTAAAGTCATCAATAAGACTCCGAAGCAGTTTAGCAGACGAGTCGGGATCCAAAGGTTTGGGACGAAACGTACGCACGTCTGCCGACACGAATCCAACATCTTTTCGAGTAGTGATTATCGACTTGACGTTCAGGGCAGATTTCATGAGCCATTCGGTGAATTCATCAAATTCTCCACCTTGAAAATTCTCTGTATTGTCTAGTACAATCACAGTTGGGATATTTTGCTCTGATAGTTAACGCTTCGCAAGCGACATAAAATTAGCGGTTTGCGACCAAGTGCGACTACTTAATCGATCAAGAATCTCACTGCAGATGTCTATGAGCTTCCGATAATGACTGTCTACTCGAATATGTGTTACAAACTGGTCACCCCTTTGCTTTAACAAAATATAATATTTGAACAGATACAAAAACGGTAGCCGATCACATGAGATGTTCCAAAAACAAGTTGAGGATATACCAATGGAAGCCTAAATATAAGACACCAAATAGGCCCTTAAGGATTGTGCTAGCATACCTTGTGGCATAATAATATACATGACAAAATTACTCGCGTCTGATCCGCGCATCTGAGATGAAAGATGTGGCTATCAAAGAGTATATCAAGGAACATGAAACAAAACATAACGGTATGGAGGTTTTTATGTGGTCTTTTAATAGACACGCAGTCTACAGGCATAAATGGGGTGAGTTTGGCCCATTATGTCTCTTAAACAAGCCACGTGACCTATCTTTTCGTTATATTTTTGGAAACAGACATAGATAAGGAACGTTTAAGGAAAGTTTTTGAGGAATCACCTTAACAATAGAAAATTCCCTGCCGACTTTTCTAATCTCGACAGATCATAGCAACGAGGTCCTCACTAAGGACATGAACCATTTAAATGGGTAAATGACCCCACAGTTCTTTGTCAATGACATTCTTAGTGTCTGTCAATATCGGGTTGATTCCATTGAAACATTTTGCAAAACCCTATTTCCATGACATGATTGACATGAGGGACAATACCCTGACACTCTGATTTGTGCACTTGTACCCCTATGCTGTGATCTGATTGGTGCGAGATACATACCCAATGCATCTATCTGATTGTTGCAAGCAACATACCACTCTAGAAACTGACAATAGAGATATTTTCTAAAAAGAAAAATACTTCAAAAACAAAATAAGGCAAAAAATTGTACTAGGTGCAAAAGCTGAAATTGATAAACTTCTTTCTTAACTTTCTTTTCATAAATTAATGAAAACTGAGTTAAGTTTTTGTGACCTTTCCATCCCTAAGGTTTCAAAGTTTTACCTCGTTCTGCCTGTTATTTTTCATGACCAGCCGTGGACATACATAGCAAAGGATGACAGTTTTTATAGGACTCATCACAAATTATCACTGTTCAAAACAAACTCCATTTATTAAAATTTGAATAAGTTAAAAGAGATACTTACCGATATTACGCAAGAATTAAAGCAGATTCTAAAATCATTGTGCATAAACTGTTAACTTTTGCCAAAAGTATTTACCAAAGGTTTTTAAAGCTACAGTACAGCTCAGTGGTAAATGGCCAACGCACATGCAAAACATTTAAACGTTTTTCGCGTTCTGCGCAAGAAAAAATTAAGCGCGTGATAAAGCGCGTGTCTTAAGCGTGTTTTTGCAATTGTTATTAAACGCAATCAGCTTGCTTTGTTCTGTACTATTTGGGAAAACAAAGATTTTCTGTCTCAAAATACCGCCGCTGAAACATCAAATCAACATTTACATAGATAAAATTCTTCAGCCGATGGCACAAAAACAAAGGTCATATCTCAAAGATACAACAGATTACATCAACCTCACAGAAAAAACAAAGTTTCCACAAAAAGCGATACTCATTTCAATGGACATTACAAGCTTATGCACAACTATACCCCCACCCCCTCCCCCCATTCCAAAACGCTCACTAGAGAAAGCACCTTCCATTGACTGATTTTTCAGGAAAGCTCAACTCAATTCATGAAAAAAAATTACTTGCAAGGGCACGAAACCAAAGCATTGGGCCCCAAAATGGCTGTGGCTTTCGCAAATATCTTCATGGCTAAAGTCCAGATGCAAATCCTAGGTAAAGGTGCTTATCTGGAAACGCTACACTGACTACAGTCTCGTCAACCAGTTAATTGAACAAGCAAATAAACGCCACCTAACAATCAAATTTACAGCTGAAATATCTCTTCAGAAGCTACTTTCATAGACACCACTATCCATAGAGATGAAAGATTCAACAAGGAGTTAGTTTCGACATAAGAACCCACTTCAAACCAACAGAACCATTCCAGGACACACTCTACACAACGTGTCACCCACAGGGAGCAAAGAAAGACTTCACTAAAGGCAAAGCGTTACCGCTCCCTGTGACTAATTTCTCAAAAGAAAAATTTGAAGTGAACATTGGACAGCTCAAAACATACCTAGCCAAAGAGACTACCTGAAAAAAATTATTGATAACCCACTCTCAGAAGTGAAATTTAAAGGATGTAAACGCGCCATACTCCAACAGGGAAAAACAAATCGAATCTTGCCCTTTGTAATACCACAAGACTATCCAACAGTCCCAAACCTAACAGAAATCCTAATGAGCAAGTGCATTTAGTACAGGAACAACCATTGCTAAGGGAAATCTTCAAAGAACAACCGGTAATATCATACAGGAAGGGGCGTTCATCCAAACATACTCGTGAGAGCAAAATTGTAAGGAAGGTGAGAAAACCGGACATACTATGGAGTCCTGTAAACACTTGTAACTAATACAGAGAAAACTGGACATTACGAAGTTAGTTAGGACTGTCAACCCCAATTTGCACAGGAGCATTAATTAAGCCTGTTTTTAAAGCAAACAAAGACTTTCTAATGTCTATTAGAGTTAGGGTGATGTGTAACTTAAGCCTAATTATGATCCAGCCTATAACCATCTTGGCTTCGAAACAGCATCCCGCATCTCGCCTTTCAAATTTCTCATATCCCACATCCTGCCTCAATTTTAAGCCTCATACTATATCCCACCAAACCTATGTTGGACCTCCTTTCTTATGTGGCCTAAATATACCTAGGAGTTAACAATATAACATGTAATACAAGCAAACCTGAGTAGAAACAAATGTAAATGCATTAAGCTCACCGTTAGCAGTTTTCATTACATTTTCGATCAATCTTTTGAATCTCGCACCTTCTGCCCATTCATTTGCATCTTCAACTGATTCAACAATGACAGTGTTTCCACCTTCTACTTCTCACAAAGCCTCAGCTATGCCAGATGCACCAGAAAGAAGAATAGGAACCCCAGCAGAAATGACTTCGAGGGCAACCAGCCCATAGCCCTCTGTACGGGAAGGAGAGCAACCGAGTCTATAGAACATCATCTTGAGTTCCTCTGGATC